TGCTCCTAGTAGTATGGCCGCCCCTAGTAGCGTCCTTGCTCCTAGTACTAGTAAAATGTTTTCCAAACCTTTTTGGTCATTGAGCTGCCCAAGTTGACTTCTTCTTGGCCTTTACAAAATCACTATCTGAGCAGTTGATCCCGATTTGAAGGCTCGGTACTTGGAGTCGACCCACTTACTACAGTGCTACTGACAACAACACTTGGACCGTGCAAAAACACAGCATCCCATCTTGCTCACTGGCAGTGCATTGCTACTAGTAGCAAGAAGCTACTATGAATGAATATTGAGCTCAATGGATTACACCACGAGTATACACTTGTTACTAGTAGCAATGCACTTGTTACTAGTAGCGATGCACTTGTTACTAGTAGAGATGCACTTGTTACTAGTAGCTTCTTTGAGACTTGGATTACACCACGATAATGGTGGGCTGCTGCGGCTGCTGTTACTCATCCATGAGCTATGTCTGCATCTTGATACTTACTTCGGTGTTTTTTGGTCCGGCTAGAACGAAGCGGGCAGCATGTCTTTGAACCAGGAAGCAGCAAGTGCCTTTGACATGAAGGGCAGCAGAATTATCCAAACTTGGTGGAGATGCTTGGTCTGAAAATCCAGCCAGCGCAGCACGCACGCCTTTTTCAGGCTGTGTTGAGAATCCGCACGTTTGACCTGGGCGGAGCTCAACCTCTCCTTCAATCTGACTAGTAGCGATGCACTTGTTCCTAGTAGCTTCTTGTTACTACTAGTAAGGCACTTGTTACTAGTAGCGATGCACTTGCTACTAGTGCTTCCAAATCTCAAGTGACATTGCTTGCAGCCTCCAAATCACCCTACCTGAAGGATGGTGCTCGGCCACCCCGCTTGAAGTGTGCCGTCAACTCAGCCTGCGACAGCAACACGAGGGCTGAAACATCTGAAACCGACAAGACAGCAACTGCGACAGCACCTCCAGATCCTCCTTCACCTCCCTGATCACAGACTGGAGCCTCAGTGCCATCTCAAGCTGCCCAGAGACACCCACAGACACGGTGGGAATGCCTTGATGTGCCGGTCCATCAATCAGTGAGACATGAAAAAAGGCCCCATGTGCACACCATGTATATAGAGCACAGAGTCCGTTGGAAGTGCTCTTGCTTTCTCATGCTTTCTCGGCCTTCTTCTTCCAAACGAGTATATAGTGGTGACCTGTCGATATAGACTTGTTACTATAGTGACGTCATGACTGTAAGGCGGCTGGCAGCCCTCCATGAGGTTGGAGGCCATCGCTTGTAGGTTGGGAGGTCACCGCTCTCATCTCTTCCACGTCTTCAACCGGCGTTTGGTCTGCATTGGGCGGTCTGGGCCTCCCAAACTGTTTCGTTTCAGCTCGACTTCGCTTGACCTCCAAAAGTTGCTCCGCCTTCACCTCGAAGCGATCGAATGAAAAGAAAGAAAGAAAGGTCTATAGTATATAGTATATAGATGTATATAGTCTATGTGGTTTGCTCTTAGGTAGGTCATCGCTATCGAATGAAAATCATACCCTCCAATGCCCGTCGAATGACCGTCTTGACCGCACGTCCCGCGCACGTTCCCCCTCGCATGACATGCCATTGGTGCTCCGTGCTTCGTGCAAATCGTGCCTTCTCCAATTCGGCTTTTCGCGACGCAGACTTGCCACACCTCAACCAAAATCCTGTTAAGTCACCATCCACAAAAACTGAAAACAATGGCCTCCAACCTAAGAGCGATGGCCTCCATTTTACTAGCGATGGCCTCCAACCTAATAGCAATGGCCTCTCCCATGCTCTCCCCCGCTGCGGAAACTCTGAAATCGAGTCCATTGCTGTGACTGGGCCATCTCCACACGCTTGGCCGTTCTATCCTCAATGCATCTGCGCGCTTTTGTCCCACATCCCTAAATCAGAGTACGGTTACCGAAACCGTATGTTGTGTTCTGTTTCTCCAAAAATCCCTTGAAGAAGTCTGGACAAACAACTTTGTAGACGAGACACCAAGTACCGCTTGGAAGAAGCCAATAAGACCAATCTCTGTGTTGAACGAGAGGAGAGGAGGTTCTGGCATCCGATAGTCACTGTCAGTGACTCCAATGCAATACACACATGTAGAAGCTTTGTGAACTATCTGTACAAGTGTGGAGATATGTGGATTGATTAGTGAGACCTCCAACTTCACCATGGTCTTCCAGAGAGTCTCAACCTTGAAAACTCAAAGCAAACTGCTAGCTTTCAAAAAGAATGCGCTGTGGCTTTTTGGCCTCGGCCAATGACTGTTCAATTTTCGGGCCATATTCCTGCAAAGAGGAAGTTTCAAGACTTGGACGGGGAGGACGTCAATCTCTGTTCCAATCCATGCACTTCTCATAGTGGCATATGAGAGTCCTTCAAATATCTTCCAATAAGCTTTTGAGTCCCTTCCCAGCAAACAACGCCGACCTCGCTGGCCGCGCCGCCCTGCGCCAAGTCGGCAGAACGTTCAGAGAGAAAGGCACCACCCTGGCACATTCAGAGAGGAGACCATCGCTCTTAGGTTGGAGGCCATCCCTCTTAGGTTGGAGGCCATCGCTAGTAGGTTGGAGGCCATCCCTCTTAGGTTCGAGGCCATCGCTAGTAGGTTGGAGGCCATCGCGTTTGGGTTGGAGGACATTGCTCTTAGGTTGGAGGCCATCGCTATATTAGGTTGGAGGCCATCGCTATATTAGGTTGGAGGCCCTCGCTATATTAGGTTGGAGGCCATCGCTATATTAGGTTGGAGGCCATTGCTAGTAGGTTGGAGGCCAACGCGCTTAGGTTGGAGGCCATTGCTCTTGGGTTGGAGGACATTGTCTTAGGTTGGAGGCCATCGCTCTTAGGTTGGAGGCCATCACTAGTAGGTTGGAGGCCATCGCTCTTGGGTTGGAGGCCATTGCTCCAAGGTTCATCTTCACAAGAGTCTCAACCTTGAAAACTCAAAGCAAACTGCGAGCTTTCAAAAAGAATGCGCTGTGGCTTTTTGGCCTCGGCCAATGACTGTTCGATTTTCGGGCCATATTCCTGCAAAGAGGAAGTTTCAAGATTTGGACGGGGGGGACGTCAATCTCTGTTCCAATCCATGCACTTCTCATAGTGGCACATGAGTCCTTCAAATATCTTCCAATAAGCTTTTGAGTCCCTTCCCAGCAAACAACACCGACCTCGCTGGCCGCGCCGCCCTGCGCCAAGTCGGCAGAACGTTCAGAGAGGAAGGCAACAGCCTGGCACAAGGAGACCATCACTCTTAGGTTGGAGGCCATCGCTAGAAGGAGGTCATCGTTCTTAGGTTGGAGGCCATCGCTCTTGGGTTGGAGGCCATCGCTCTTTGGTTGGAGGCCATCGCTCTTAGGTTGGAGACCATCGCTCTTAGGTTGGAGGCCATCGCTCTTAGGTTGGAGGCCATTGCTCTTGGGTTGGAGGACATTGTCTTAGGTTGGAGGCCATCGCTCTTAGGTTGGAGGCCATCGCTCTTGGGTTGGAGGCCATCACTAGTAGGTTTGAGGCCATCGCTCTTGGGTTGGAGGCCATCGCTCTGAGGTTGTAGGCCATGGCTCCTAGGTTGGAAGCCATCGCTCTTAGGTTGGAGGCCATCGCTTCTAGGTTGTAGGCCATCGCTCTTGGGTTGGAGGCCATCGCTTTTGGGTTGGAGGCCATCACTAGTAGGTTGCAGGTCATCACTAGTAGGTTTGATGGCCTCAGCTCTTAGGTTGTAGGCCATCGCTCGCCATCGCTCTTGGGTTGTAGGCCACCGCTCTTAGGTTGTAGGCCATCGCTCTTAGGTTGTAGGCCATCGCTCTTAGGTTGTAGGCCATCGCTCTTAGGTTGTAGGCCATCACTCTGGTTGCAAGCCAACGCCCTTAGGTTGTAGGCCATCGCTCTTAGGTTGTAGGCCATCGCTCTGAGGTTGTAGGCCATCGCTCTTAGGTTGTAGGCCATCGCTCTCAGGTTGTTAGCCATCACTCTTAGGTTGGAGGCCATCGCTCTTAGGTTGTAGGCCATTGCTCTTAGGTTGTAGGCCATCGCTCTTAGGTTGTAGGCCATCCCTCTTAGGTTGTAGCCCATCGCTCTTAGGTTGTAGGCCATCGCTCTTAGGTTGTAGGCCATC